GTGGCGGCGCTACAGGAGACGCAGAATAAAGACATGAACCAGTATGGACAGGTAAGGTTCACTGAACACACAGCCAAATGATACATAAGGCTCGTTCCACCGAGAACTTTGGTTTGGTGCCATAGTGCGGTGCAGTCCAGTCTCAAACTGGGGCCCACGAACCATATCTTGGGGTCGAAAAAAATCTGCATGAAATGATTTTGCCATATCATTTAGCTGTGAGAAGCTGTCAAATGTCCTGCTCTCCAGAAACATAGGTAACTGTTCTCCAACCAAATAGTCGAGACATTCAAGCTTTCTGTTCCTTGCCTTTAGATGTGTTCATCCTTCCAAATGGGTCCCGCTCAGGCCTACAATAGTCAGTTCATGAACCAACCAGGTCCACGAGGACCCCCCGGAGGGATGAATCCTGCCAGCATGGGTTCAGGGATGAACAACCCAAACATGAGCGGGCCTCCCATCGGCATGACTCAGGCCCGGACCCCTGGAATGGGACCTTTCGGAGCTCACGGCCAGCGGATGCCGCAGCAGGGCTACCCGGGAGGACCTCGGCAAGGCATCCCCTTGCAGGGGATGAAGCGGCCGTATCCTGGCGAGGTGAGTGGGCACCCTGCCACACCTGTATCTTTATGCTGTTAATTAACCCTTTCGGGGACAGCGGTTACTACAGTGGACAGGTTATCATGTTATCAGGTTACAGGGTGCATGAAAGGGTGAATATACACTGTTCCCCCACTATATCACGGGATGGCTATGTCACTGATTCTTTTAAGCATTGTTTTTTTGTTTTTTTTTTCCTCAATGGATTTTTACAATATACTTTTTCACCTCTACAATTAGTCAGTTGCTTGAATGTCCCTCCCTAGGCCGGGTACGGAGGTCAGTATGGACCGAACAGTCAGTTCCCACCGCAGCAAGGGCAGTACCCGACTCCCAACGCTTCGAGGCCCCTGCCTTCGCCCAACTACCCGGGACAGAGGATGCCCGGGCAGCAGGGGCAAGGACAGTACCCACCTGGCATGCCCATGGGCCAGTACTACAAGGTTTGATACTCCTCTGTCCATGGTTGATGTCAGCAAGGGGATGATTTCAAATGTCTCGATGTTAAATTTGCAGCAAGAGCCATTTAACGGGCAGGGCACCAACTTCTCGGGTGGCGGCTACTCATACGGGCAAGGAAATGGGGTAAGTTCTGGCGTCATGTCTGAATTATCCAAATTCCTGAATGGATGTCAGCTAATATTTGTTGGTTTTTTTCTTATCCAGCCCCCCAGGCCTGGGAACTACCCCCACTCGCCAGTACCTGGAAACCCCACGCCGCCCATGACGCCCGGGAGTAGTATTCCTCCGTACCTGTCGCCAAACCAGGACGTGAAGCCCCCGTTTCCACCTGACATGAAACCAAATATGACTGCACTTCCTCCTTGTGAGTACACCGTACTTACAATCCTTTTCAGAAAAGTCAAAATATAAACATCATTTCTAAATCCAGATATCCTCAATACATATTTTGTAAAAGTCAACTCCAAACTTCTGTTTTCCTCCCAGCTATTACCAACGAGGAGCTGCGGCTGACGTTCCCGGTCAGAGACGGCGTGGTGCTCGAGCCGTTCCGCCTGGAGCACAACCTGGCTGTCAGCAACCACGTCTTCCACCTGCGGCCCTCCGTCCACCAGACCCTCATGTGGAGGTAACGGATTCTCCCTTCAAGCAAGCCGTCTAGCCAACAGAATTTTAGTTGCGTGTATATCGACATACGTCGTTGGGTCTCTGACATGCCTGCCCACACATCAAGTGCGGAATGAAAACAACATTTTAATTCTTGAAAATATGCGGATGTGACCGCTGCATGCACCACATGCGCAGATCTTCTACACGAATCGACAAAAGTTCTTTGACGGCTTGGTAATAAAGTGCCGCCTTCATATGGGGAAAATACAAATGGCGCTTTTCGCTCGTCCTTAACTCACTCGCTCCCAAAGACGTTTTTAAACGTCTTTGTAGACTTGGTCCAGAATTGGCTGGTGCTGAATGAGTTAATGGGACTGGCGTCTTGTCGTCAGACCCTGGACTGCCTCAGAACAAGTAGCCATTTGCCTCAGAGGCTCTGTCTCTGGCGCCTGTCGCCATGGTTACAATAGCATTGGCCCATGCGTGAGACGGAACCACTCCCGCAAAACCCGAGTGATTTCAACCAGGTGGATTTTACCTGGTCGCCGGTAAAAAGCTGTCAAATGGAAATCATATTTTTTCTGTCGATTTGTGTATGCAAGTTTTATAAATATGAAACAGATGAAGCTGAAGATGAGGGGGTAGCAAATCTTGCAAATCCCATCTCCTCCGCAGGTCAGACTTGGAGCTGCAATTCAAGTGCTACCACCACGAGGACAGGCAGATGAACACCAACTGGCCGGCCTCGGTCCAGGTCAGCGTCAACGCCACGCCCCTCACCATCGAGCGGGGCGACAACAAGACCTCCCACAAGCCTTTGCACCTGAAACACGTGTGCCAGCCGGGCAGGAACACCATCCAGATCACCGTCACCGCCTGTTGTTGCGTGAGTGTGGCCCACTATCCGGGGAGAGACCATATTTCCTGGGACAAAAACATCAGCTGGTGTTGAGGATTCAAGTTGAATAGATGTGTGTTTGTTTGTTATGTATTCCTTTGCAGTCGCATCTGTTTGTGCTGCAGCTGGTCCACAGGCCATCTGTGCGCTCCGTCCTCCAGGGGCTCCTAAAGAAGAGGCTCCTTCCCGCGGAACACTGCATCACCAAAAGTACGCCGCCGTGTGTTAATATCTCAATTACCCCCCGACACCTGCTGCCGTTTGCGCTTACAATACGCTTTCACAGGGGCGGGCTGTGTATTTGGTTGCTGGGCTTTGGGTTGGGCCTCACCTGACTTCAAACGTTTCATCATCCCACTCCTACCGTGTCGAAATGCAAAACGGAATTTATAAATATAGATCAATATGCAAACATGCAAAACAGCACACGACGGTGTCGCATAATCTGGAGCATTTTTCTCAGCCGGTGTTTTTCTCAGACCAACCAATGTGACGACGGAACAATGCTGATGTCATCGAGGGCCAGCCCTTTGGCCCTGTGAGGATGAATATGAGTTTGGGCCGTTATCAGCCAACTCTACTGATTCTGAATGCTCTGGGTTGATTAGTTCCCCATGGAAACATAGATACTGAAATCTGATTGGACAAAAATGAGTAAATAGATAAATAAATGAATGTAACGTCATCTTGTTCTGGAAGCTGTGCAGTCTCGAAAAATGCTATGAAATGAAGTGAATGCACTTTTGAGACTAAATGAATACAATGCCATGGAAAAAATATTAGAATGAATCTCTCTTTTCCCAGTCAAGAGGAATTTCAGCAGTGTGGCGGCCTCAGCGGGCAGCACCACTCTCAACGGGGAGGACGGCGTGGAGCAAACGGCCATCAAAGTGTCGCTCAAGTGTCCCATCACCTTCCGCCGCATACAGCTCCCCGCGCGAGGCCACGACTGCAAACATGTGCAGGTTTGTGGATATCGAAAAAGTTGTTTATCGAAATTAATTACTGTAAACACAGTCAGTGATCATATTGTCTTCTGTGTCGTCCGCAGTGCTTCGACCTGGAGTCTTACCTGCAGCTAAACTGTGAGAGAGGCACATGGAGGTGTCCTGTTTGCAAGTATGTCAAGTTTTACAATTTTAAACAACAAAAAACATATCCTCAAGATTAAAAAAAATAATAATAATAATAATAAATATATATTTTAAAAATAGATCCATCTGCGAGTATGTGAATCTGCGGGTGCGAAGATGCAGGGGTCAACTTTTCAATCGTTGAGTTTTAAAGTGTAATATCACCAATCGCCACTAGATGGCAGATGTGTCTTTGTTGTCCTTACATTGGGTTTATACCGCCCTATACTACAGCCCTAATATTTTTTTGCGAATTTGGAATCATATGCAGGACAAACATGGTACCTCATTTTTGTGGGAACATATTGTTTTTACACTTACTGTTTGCTTCCTGTTTAGCAGTTTTGTGCCATCCATGAATGGTGATTCTTATGCAAGAGGGCCCTTTGCACCTGGAAATTTATTTTTCCATATTTGTGATAGCATGTTTTTCATACATCTGGTTAGCAGGTGTGTGCTCTAATGTGGGTCTCCAATAGGACTGATTACAAAAAAAATGCGGCCCACTCCAGCATTTAAGTTGCTCGTCCCTGCTATAGACTAATGTAGTAGCTCCACAATGTTGTCTTTGGATCCAGGGAACTATTAGTTCCGCCCGGTCTGCCTTGATTTTCTCATAATAGTCATTCCTACCTCATATTGTGTTTTCCTCCTTGTAGTAAAACAGCATTACTCGAAGGTCTCGAAGTGGATCAGTACATGTGGGGGATCCTCAATGCCATCCAAAAGTAAGTTTGAAAGTGCAAATACGCTTCGTCCTGTTGAGTGCAGGCTTTGAATTAACGCTTCTAATTCAATCGTCAACAGTTCGGAGTTCGAGGAGGTCACGATTGACCCGACGTGCAGCTGGCGGCCCGTGGCCATCAAATCTGAGCTGCACATCAAAGAGGACCCCGACGGACCGCTGGCCAAGCGCTTCAAGACCATGAGCCCGAGTCAGATGACCATGCCCAACGTGATGGAAATGATCGCCCAGCTTGGGCCTGGAAGCGGGCCAGGGGCCGGCCACGGTCCTGGACCCGGTCCCAGCCCTTATCCCCCGCACCACCCTGGCCAACATGCCAGTGGAAACGGAGGAGATTACCCGGGAGCAGGTAATGAAAACTGTAATCATATAGTATAAATGTCATGAGGTCACTAACGCTGTTTGTTTTGGTCTTTGAAGGCAACCCTTACCACAGCCAAGGGAACTTTGACTTTCCTCACGGGAACTCATCTGGAGGCAGCGGAGGTGGAGGAGGAGGAGGAGGAGGAGGGGGCCCACCTATCAGTGACTTCATCCACGGCCCTCAACTTTCCCACCCGCCGGATGGGCCGAGCGGTCTTCTGTCCCAGGACAAGCCCCTCAACCACGGCATGAATGACACGGTAAGTAGCGCTGATGATACTTTATTTTAACGCTGAGGACAAAACAGACACATCGGCTGAGTTTGAAATTGTTTATTCCTACTTCTCCCTCGTGCTCCAACAGCGCAAACAAAATGCGGAAGTCACGATACGGAGCACTATATTAAGTCAACGGGGAGTCATTTCAAACACAGCCGAAATGAAACGAGAGGCTGAGATTTTGCTTTGTGGGCCGAAGCAGGACGTGTGCGCTCACATGCTCGCCATAAAGTGTTGCAGCTGTATGTGTCTGCTCATCACAGCTTCCATTTTCAAGGGCCTGGTTCACATTATTCACGCTGGGACTCATTTCACTTTTCCCCTCTCTCTATACATCCCTCTCTCCATCTGCTACCCTCTGTCTCCCTCTCTGGCTCCTGCAGATGTCCCATCCCGAACCGTCCCATAACTCCATGCAGCCCGGCTTGCATGCTTCTCCCCACCCCAGCGGCCAATCGGGGCCCTCCATGCATCACGGCGGCAGCGGCCAATCGGGGCCGCCCTTGCATCACGGCGGTGGTCCGTCGTCTTCGCAGCCGTCTCGCCCGCCGCCGCAGCCTCAGCCGCCTCAGCCGCCCGGCCAGAATGCTCACCCGCACGCCGATCTGACGTTTAACCCCTCGTCAGATGGCCCGGACATGCCCGAGCCTTCGCTGGATGTAAGTGTGTGTGTGTGTGTTTGTGTCACCCAAAACGCAGCGGACACAGCTTGATGTGGGAAAAACACGGTTAAAATTATGCAGTTTAAGGTCAAACATTTTCATTTTCCCACATGGCATCTGGGTTCCGATACCAGATATCATATCACATCTTTCAAGGCATCCGATACTCATGGTGGCTGCTGATACCAGCCACCGATACTAAAGGCAGAAAAAAAATATTTTATCAAGTGCTCCTGAGCAGTAGTTGGCGTTTGGTCGTTTCACACATCGGCGAATCCTCATCCGCATTAAAAAAGTCACAATTTTCTGTCATTGTGTTAAAATTTAATTATATATATCAAAAGTAATTCAGGTATCGGTTCCCTGTATCGGTCAGTAGTCAAAGAGTGAATACTCATACTGGTATCGGTCTGAAAAAGAGTGGTATCGAACAACCCTCGTCATTAAGAACATTACAGTACGGTTCATCTTTATACGGTGCTTTCACAATAGCTGTAGCTGTCATGAAACACCTCAAAATAGCGGCCAGTGCAAAATCTTCTGCTCAAAAGCTGAAAAATGACAGGAAAGGCCTGATAGAATAACACAACTTTGGGTGTGTCTACTGACTCCCGTTTAACATAAGTTTGAATGTGATCGATTAATTCTGAACACAGCCACATGTCCTTTATAAGAGGGGTGATGTGTACACTTTTGCCACCACCTTATCTTGTGTCTGTGCACGTGTCTCTCAAATTATTTTTCCTCAAATGAATGGAAATGACATTTCTCAATTTTTATTGAAGAAAAATCGCTCTCTGTAATATTACACTCCATTGTGATGACAATTAAATTATTGCGGCACTGCAATAGAGTCATGCAGATAAACTTAAAAAATCATTTAAAGCAACTAATGTAAGAGACTCTAATTGTTAGTCATGTAGCATTTTTTGCAGAGGATAAAGAATATATGCTCGTCAGTATTGTTACATTCGCTGTCTATGTGTTGCTCAACTGTATGTGTTCAAATATCTGTTCCTCAAAGCATTGTAACGCCACGACAGATGTTATTTGTTAGCCCATCATTGGTGTTTCCCACTATGTGTTAGCATTAAGCTAGCGATGGCGTGTATCTCCGTACTTTTCAACTGCGTCATTGGTGTCGCAAAAAATCCTGACTCTCTCCATTTTTGGGTCATCCATAGTTGCTTCCAGAGCTGGCCAACCCGGACGAGCTCCTCTCGTACCTGGATCCTCCCGACCTTCCGGCCAACAGCAACGATGACCTTCTCTCCCTCTTTGAGAACAACTAACCTCCCGCTGCCCCCGTTCCCCACTTCCTCCTTTGAAGCTCACCTCACAGGGGGACGCGTTTGACTGTCCGGTCCACAGACACGTCGCCCACCTCCCACTTTTGACACTTGAGACTGTATCCCATGCGCACACGTGCACACTGTCTTTCGAAGATGTGCTGCATGGGATGGAGGGGGAAAAAAACCATACGGGAATGCAGCTCATCCCTGCACATGTTTTTGTGTAAAGATTCCACCAACAACATCCACGGCCACGTTGGCGGGCACAAAAAAAAAAAAGAAAAAAAAAGGCAACGTCATGCAAATGTATATAGTTGATATACATGTCTAAGATACTTTATCAAGTGTGCAGCTATTATTATCACTTGTAAACGACAAAAGCCTGGAGACAAGGAAATGATTTTCTTTCTTTTTTTTTTTATATCTAAGCATGATTTGGCTTTTGTGGGAAAAAACAATTCTTGTCTGTGCATACGTGTTTTTGTCTACTTTTTGCAAACGTGTTCTTCCAAGTACGGCAGCTCATGCCGCGACCTTTGAACCCACGGCCCTCCCCCTCCCTCCACCCCTCCAGAGTGCACGCGGCAAATGGAGCGCACGACCTCGCTGAAAGGACGAGCGGTCGCGCAGTGTGTGTGTGTGTGTGTGTACGTGTGTTTGTGTCCGTGTGGTCGTCCTGCCTGCAGCAGATGTAAAGAGGGGAGCAAATCCACCGCCGTGTCCTTCTTCCACTCCGCAGAAGCTCTATTTATTATCATGTCTCACTCTTCCACATCTTTTTTTTTCCTTCTCATTTTGCAATTGTGCCAATGCGTCCTGTTGATTGTTTATCCAATCGATATTTATTGCTCGAGTACATCTGTTGTTGTTTTTCTACATCGTCGTCATTTTCGTGTGCTTTTTTCTTTTCTTTTTTTTTTTTTTTCTCCGTTCTCTGTCTCCAAAGCAGATCTTTCCTATTTTTGGTAACTGTATTTGAACGCAGCATCTGTTCCCAGCATCATGCAGCCTCCTCTGTGTGTGTGTGTGTGTGTGTGTGTGTGCGTGTGTGTGTGACAAAAACTGTTGTATATACGCTTTGTGAATACTTAGTGACTGTGCAGTGCTGTGCCCATCTATTACTGTCAACTTGACATGGTACTGTGTTTCACACTCTCTCACACACACACACACACACGCACACACACACAAATACACTATACAAATACTGTACTCACAAGTCCACTTCCAAACTGTTCCAAATGCACTCTGGCCTTGTATTGTGTGTATTGGTGTACATTTTTCCCCTTTGCCACCCTTTCATTTTTTTTTTGTGTTTTTTTTTAATGTGGTGTGTTGGTATCGTGTCTAAAATAAGTGTAAAAGCAGCTTAGAGGTCCAAATGTCCACCCCCGCCAAAAAACCCCCCGATATAATTGGTTACCTTTCAACAATTCAATATTGTTTCAAAAAATGCATACTTTTATGTATTTTAACCCTAATTTTATGTGGTTTTAAATGAATTATCATTTTTTGCTTTTCAAGTTTGATGGAGTCAATGAAGTTGAAAATGTACGTACTCAGTTTTCACCCCATTTGAGTTCCCCCCCACCCCACCCCTTCATACGCAACCAAATATGTTTTACTTGTCAAATATTGTTTTGAATTTTAATGTAAGACGATGCACTGCCGCATGGGGATGTTCCCTACACAGTCAGTTTGCATCTCTGTCCACTTCCAGCCAATGAGATGAGAATTCATGTTCAAAAAAAAATAATAATAATAATAATTAAAAGCAAGAAGCAAGGGTGGATTGTGAGGCCGTGACTGTGAGGGGATGCGCGTGTGCGCGCATGTGTACATATTGTAAATGACAAATAGAGACCCATTAACAGAAATGTATTCATTTTTTTTCTCCAGAGGGAGTGTGCATAGTGTATTTAGAATTTGTAAAGCTTGCATCCTCCTGTCAGACGTCCCAATTGAAATCATTTTTGACGATCGCAGACCTCGCTAACGTCGCCTGTTCATTTGTGTAAAATACTTTATGTCAACCCTCCCTTGCATGGGGGGGAGCCCCTGACACAAAATACATTTTTTTCCCCCTTTGTGTAATTATTCTGTGTATTTCTCCATGGCCTGTGTACTTTATAAAGGTGCTACAAAATGATTCACACCCTTCATTAGGACTTGGAGACAAAGCTTTAGAGTTTGTAAAGGAGAAAAAAAAGTCATAATAAAATGTCCAGTTTATAGTTTTTATGCAATTTGGCAAACAATGCTATAAAGGTACAATCTGAAGTGATTGGCACACGTGGCAGTTGTCTTTCTCTCTCTTGGTGTTTGTACATTCACTCATGTACAATCAGTTCTTATTGGTCAGACAAACATTGTGATTTTTAGTCTTGCAAATCTGTATGTAGTTAGATGACGTGACATCCTAATATTTATCTAATAAATATGTATTCCGATGAAACACAAATGTTGGACGTGCCTCTATATACTAAAATTTAACTCTTTCTGAGTGTAATATACACAGGAAACAAGTCATAAGTTTTAGTCGAGGCTTGAATAGTCACTTTGTCACGAAAGGGAAGCTGCTAATTTTACTGTTTCTTTCATGATTCATACAAGATGCACAGTACATTTAAGAAAAGAAAATGTGTAAAATTCCACATCACGAACTACCCAACAACTTCTGACAATGTGCTATAGACAAGGATGTTAAATAAATGCTAAATTCCATAGGTAATATATATTGCATTTGAACACCCAGTTAAGTTCTATTATTGTACATGATGTATTCTCCATAAATTAAAACGTACAGTATGTAAAATAGGGTGCCATCTTCATTGTGAATCTTGATGTAAAAAGTAATAAATAGAAAGGTATTAAAGGCAATATTAATGTTAGTAGTATTTTGAAATAAATTAACATGTAATAATTATTCCGTTTTTTTCTAATATTTGTTATTTTTAGTTTTGACACAAAAATATTCAAGTGAAGATTGAATTAACTTCAAATTAATGTTCCTTTTTTGTACTTGGGGTAGAATATTTGGTTTCTAGTATTTTATTTTATCTTTTATTGTCATCTCTTGAGAAATATTGTAGACACAGCATAGAATAAAGCCTATTACTAAAATGACTGTTATTTAAGGGTGCTACTTAATTTAGTATTGTATCTTCAAACAATGCAATTTGGAAAAAAAAAACGCAAGGTGAGTACGTTTATACGTTAAGCACTTCTCACAGGACTCACGAAGTTAAATTAAGACACAACAGAGAGTCATATGATAATTCGATTAAAAATATATTACAGCATGCGTAAATCGTGTTTCAATTGAACCCAATTAATACTTTGCACAAATTAAACGAAATAACAGAAATGTTAAAACGTTATTGCACTGCCGAATTCTGCCACACGATGTCGCTGTTAATCTTCCACTTCCTGTCAAGTCTGCGTGACGTTTCACTTCCACAGAGTATCACCTCTGCCCTGGAGATGTGCTAAGCTAAAGCAAATAGCTTGAGGCAAAGATGTTTGTCGTCAAAAACCGAATCAAATACAGCCCTCTCGGCATTGCCACAGCGAGGATGCTCTCCTCGGGTCCGGTCGAGAACCCTGTCGTTTTTCTGGACATCGAGGCGGACGGTGAGCCTCTGGGGAAAATAATCATTCAGGTAGCTAGCTACATAGCCATCTTGTTAGCATCGTTCGCCTCTCTTTGGTGTCCCCTGCAGGGCGTCTGTGAACACATGTGCTTCTTTATGTGTTTATCTTCCAGCTGAATGCCGACGTGGTGCCAAAGACTGCGGGTAAAGACAACATTCTCAGGTCATTCCAACTGTGTTAAAAATAATAAACGTGTTTTATTTCACAGAGAACTTCAGAGCCTTGTGTACAGGAGAGCATGGCTTTGGCTACAAGGGGTGTGTGTTCCACAGGATCATACCACAGTTCATGTGCCAGGTCAGTTAACTGTCAGACTGACTTTAAAAATGACTTCTAATGTTGTTTCTTCCTAGTTTTGACGATGTGTGTGTGTGTGTGTGTGTGTGTGTGTGTCACAGGGAGGAGATTTCACCAAACACAACGGAACCGGAGGGAAATCTATATACGGAAAAACCTTCAAGGATGAGAACTTTAGGTTAAAACACACCGGAGCAGGTGAAGCTGAATTCTATTATTTTATCATTATTATTATTATTATTATTATTTTTTTTTATTTTATTTAAAAGATGGTCTTAACATAAGTCAGGTGTGGTTCATCTGATCGTTCACATCTGCGTACAGTAAATCCTCACGTGTGGTTGTTATCCACCCAATCACAGATTTTATAACAATAACAACACAACTAAACAATTCAGCCCAACAGTAACAATCTTGCTTTGGTGCCATCTTTTGACATCTTGGTGCCAAGCGACTTTTGAGGTGAGTTGAAGAGCTTTGTTTCAACAAAAGTAGTCCTTTGCTGCTAACTTGTGGCATTTTAGTAATTTCATTGTAAACCTTTTAGGGGAACACGAAATACTTGTGGATTTTCACAATTCGAGATAGGGCTAAATTCTAAATCGCTCTAGAATTTTATAAGAAATAGAAGCAGCAAATGTCGCTAGTCTCTCAAAAACGATCCTGCACGATTAACCTGTGATGTGGGGTATGTGAAAAAATGATTTCTCCTCGCTAGTCTGTTGGGAAAACGGTCATTGTCATAAACGTAAACCTATACCCTGCCCTGGACGAAAACAACACAGACACTTATCACTGCTTGTTTAGAAATAATAATCAGAATTTTTTGGGGAAAAAAAAAAAAACATCGGTTTCAGATTAGAAAAATAGGTAATATTTAGCTCATCACTCTGTGATGATTATTTGTTTCATTCAAATTATATTACAAATGATTCAATGTCGATTATTTCAAGTTTATCAATTTCAGAAAATCAACACAGATATCTCATTCTTTTTGAAAATTTGCAAGCTCTGCATATGATACAAGACAATAGTTGTATTTATAATTTGCTGTGTGTGGTTCTTTTTTGTTTGTCTGTTTTATTTTTAGCTGTACACACTGTATATCCTGCATGTCCACTAGATGGTACTACTGACATTTTATTTCTGCTCTTTTGAATCACAGTCTGACTGACCTACTTACAAGTATCCAAATGAAATTCAATTTCAAAAGCTTTTTTTTTTTTAATTTAATTGTTTTTTTTCCCCCTTACAATAGTCCTCTTTAAACATTGTTTTCATTGTGCGCAGGGACTTTGTCAATGGCCAACTCAGGCCCAAACACAAACGGCTCCCAGTTCTTTATCAGCACCACCAAAACCGAATGGTAAAACCTTCATCTTTAATACGTTGTTAACAGAATCAAAGTAAAATAGTTGTGGCAGATTGCATCCATAAATTGTTTTTTTCTCAGCCGTAGTAGACTGAAAACATTTAGTGTTGGTCTCAAAAGATGAAAATAACACCAAAAAAAATCCAAAATGTCATCTCGTGTGTGTGTGTGTGTGTGTGTGTGTGTGTGTGTGTGTGTGTGTGGAATCCCTTTGTGTTTTGTCGGCAGGCTGGACGGCAAACACGTCGTGTTTGGACAGGTAACGTCAGGTATGGACGTGGTGTCAAAAATGGAAGCCTTTGGTTTACATGATGGCGGTGTGATCAAGAAAATAGTTGTGGCAGATTGCGGGCAAGTGAAATAGATTTCCATGCGGGCCTTCGGATAAAAGGACTTCTCATAAATCTTTCTCGCATCATTCATCTGATGTGTTGACAAGTTCGGGGTCATCCTTTTGAGTCCAAATCTTCATATTGTGCAATTCCCCCGGCCACTTCCTGCCAAATAAACGTCCGATGTTCCCGCTCTCTCGGCCCACTCTGAGGACATTGGCTCGTGCCCCCGCTGCTTTGCAACCTTCCTGGAAAACAGCCAGTGGCTTTTTTTAGACTCCACCGCTTCCTGTCCATCCCAGCAGGAAGTGACATCAGGTGACATCCATGCGCCGGCCTCAATCTTGCGCACCAGAAAGTGTCTTTGGGCCCATATGTGAGGCTGGCTGCTTGTGTTGCTTGCCAGGCTGGTGCTTTATGTAAGTAAATAATAGAGATTTTTTTTTTTTGGGAGCCCCCCCCCCGCAAATAAAAACCATCTGCATGCTGACCTTCCACCAGCGTTTGTTTGCGCTCTCACGTTACACAGTTGCTGTGGAGATGCTGGCACGTTGTTCCGGCTTGAGATGTTGTAACAAACTTGACAGAATTTGGGCCCCCACCCTGGCTTTGAACATGGCTTGTTTGTTTTGTTTCAGCATAACAATCTCCGCTGTCGTCACACATTTTTGTTTTGACAATTTAATAGCAGCTCTATTTCTAAAAAAAGTGTCCATGGTTGACCTCAAATAAAGTCCAGTTGTTTTAGTTGGCTTTTCCTTGTTGGTGTTTTTATAAGCCTGAAAATGTTGTCCTAATACTGATTGCTATTCAGAAGTGATTGTAATTCCCTTCACCTTGAATTTGGCCCCGGTTTCATCTCAGTGAAGTCACCCCAAAGCTTTCTGCTGCCGCGAAAACGCTTCAATGGGGGTATTACGGTGGTCCTGTGATGTACATTCACGCCAAACGCACCTTTCGAAATTATGACATTATAACATTTTCTCACATGTATTTGATTTGGGAGTTTTCAAGTATGTTTTTGCAAAAAAAAAAAAAAAAATTAAACCATTGTTCAACTATTTTTCAAATTGACTGAACATATATATTTTTGAATTTGGTTCCTGGTTTTGGTACGTAACATGTCAGGAAAAAGGCGAAAATGTGGATCATTACAAAGTAAAAGCAGATGTTTGTAAATGTCTTATTTTTATTCAACAAAATGATGACGAGTCAATCAGAAATCAGACAATATTTACTGTCGAGAGCCCAAAATTCTGAGGATTTGGACAATTTTAGGTCTCTGTTAATCTCAAAAATAATTACGGATGGATTTGCTACTCGATTAGTTGTCGATTAATCATTGCACCGCTACTTACTCGATACTATCGAGTAGATTACAACATGCAAACGTTGTCAGAATGCAAAACAGCTATTGCAAACGTTTGGAAACTATTCTGTGTACTAATTATGAACCAATGACCAAAAGAGCTTCCCCGAGCGCGAATGATACCCACCATGTGCTGCTTTTTGATGCGGATTCAAACAAACTAGACACAAGTCCAAACAGAAGGCAGACTTTTAGCCAGACTTTTATTCATCAAAGGAGACATCACTAGAGCACTAAAAAAATATTTCCTAACTAACAAATAAGGCACATTTTGGAATGCCGTTTCATGGACATGACAAACAGACCCACAGTCAGTCAACTCTCGGAACCATGAATGTCCTTTTTCTCAGAAAACCTCCCAAGAGTCCTTTTTTTTCATTTGTATTTGTTTTTTTAAAACGTGTTGCAATGTTATGTAACAAGTGAGACACACATTTAGTTGTTAACACACGACATACATTCCGTAAATAGTATTCAAAAAGCTGTAATACTGGAACCAAAAAAAAGGGGATTTAAATAGCAACATACAGTCTGTTACATTGCACAAATGTAATACTTCATTGGACACACATGCACATGCAAACTCAACTGGTTCTTTGTCATGAGCTAACAGCTAGCGCTAACACTGGAACATCCCATCATAGATCAGCTCAAGGCAAGCTGCGTCTCACAGTTTTAACGTGCTCATACAGTGGCGGCGAGACATTCTGCATGTTAACACAACATCGCACTTTTCAGCCGCAAAACGATTATACGTTTGTATACCAGCTCATCATTAGTAACGTTAATGCAGATTCTTTAACTACAAAAAAAAACCTCACAATGACTTATAACTGAGAAAAAAAATATGTACCAGCTTTTTTCTTTTCTTTTTTTTTAAATTTATAATAATCTAAGTAGACATCAATATTTTCTCCGTAGTGTAAATTTGTTTGCATATTCTATACAAGAAGTGTTGTTTAAAAAAAATCATAAATACTTCTGCAGATTATTGTCAAACAATCCAAGGAGAAACAAAACTCCCAGTTACGTTTACTTCTCAGCAAGGGACCTTCTTCCTCCACCACACACACACACACCCGCACACACAAAATATTGCATACACTTCCAAAATGACAGCCATCAAATATATACATAAACATTTGTTCATAAAATATCTGTCATAACTCGAGTTAGGTTGCTATAAAATTTTCTACGTTTTGCAAAATACACATACTCTGTATACGCTCATTTTTTTATAGGCTATATATACTGCAAAGCGAATACAAAAGTCAAGTATAAATGTGAATTCAAGACAAAAGAAGAGATTTTTTGTTTGTTGTTTTTACTGCTTCCGTTTGCTCCCAATGTGCCGTTTACAATGACACCAGGCCGATTTTTCAACTATGTTAAACGCTAAACTACGGTTTCGTCAAAAAGGCATCACGGGCGATGTTCGAAAGGCCTTCAGGTGTCTTCACAGTGCAGGGGTGTTGAACCATTTTCATATACAGTATATATTTTCATATATGAGCCGGTGAGCGGCGCTGAAACATTGCATTGTGGGAAATGTAGGAACTGACATCATTGCGAGACTTGTTACATCAGTCTGAAGAAACGCAACTTTTCTTCCTCAATGTAACTTGTACAGGCCAGGCACGTCATTTGTCAAAAGCAAGATGTCTGGCGGTACACATTATGGGTGCCTACTGTATAATTGAACATTTCAACTTAAAGTCTCTTTGTGTGGATTCAAACGAAGTTTAGTGTTTTTTTTTAAGATGCTTAAAAGACAATGTACATTAAAGGACATAGTGTTCATTTCATGTTTATCACTGATTCAGTATACGCTCATTTTTTTTTATAGGCTATATATACTGCAAAGCGAATACAAAAGTCAAGTATAAATGTGAATTCAAGACAAAAGAAGAGATTTTTTGTTTGTTGTTTTTACTGCTTCCGTTTGCTCCCAATGTGCCGTTTACAATGACACCAGGCCGATTTTTCAACTATGTTAAACGCTAAACTACGGTTTCGTCAAAAAGGCATCACGGGCGATGTTCGAAAGGCCTTCAGGTGTCTTCACAGTGCAGGGGTGTTGAACCATTTTCATATATATATTTTCATACATGAGCCGTTGAGCGGCGCTGAAACATTGCATTGTGCGAAATGTAGGAAGTGACATCATTGCTAGACTTATTACATCAGTCTGAACAAACGCAACTTTTCTTCCTGAATGTAACTTGTACAGGGCAGGCACATCATTTGTCAAAAGCAAGATGTCCGGCGGTACACATTATGGGTGCCTACTGTATAATTGAACATTTCAACTTAAAGTCTCTTTGTGTGGATTCAAACGAAGTTTAGTGTTTTTTTTTAAGATGCTTAAAAGACAATGTACATTAAAGGACATAGTGTTCATTTCATGTTTATCACTGATATTCAAGATCACAAGCACCGAAAGAGCCCTTTGAAGTACATTCAGAGATGTTTCTAAATAAAGATAATTGCTGGAAATTTTCAGTTTTCCTATTTTTGGCGGGAGGTGTGGCTAAAACGCGGCACAGTCAAACGAGTTCAAATCCGACATGAGTGCAGTTAGCTAGCTAGCTATGCCCACATTCTGAAAATCTTCACAGAATGCTACATTTTAGAGAACAGTTGGGTGTTGTTATTGTTTTGTGTCATTCAGGCACTAACAAAATATGTTGGAATGCACAGCACTGTGGCCATATTGTATAGCGAGCAGGACGTATGTCCTCAAATATCTGTTAAGTTGGGTGAGCCACAGGCGGAATGGTGCGTGCCGCCGTGTTTAATGAAACATTCCCCAAAGTGTCTCTGTCATGTGGACCTACACACACACCGAGCGAGGAGGTCCGCGGTGGTTTTCCGAATCCTGTTAGCTCGCGAGCTAGCTGTTGGTTGCCTCTCTACCAAGTCTGGGAAAGACCCCGCAATGACACACTGAGATCTAGTCCATTCACACGAATATTTAGATGGAACTATTTTCGTGGAGCAAAAAAGACCAACCTCCATTGTTTTTTTTTTATTATTTTAACTCTTCCACACCTCCAATTCCATTTATGGCAACTCTTTTATGTTATTTCACACTTTCTATGCATCACAGTGAACCTTAGGTCTGGTAACATTACATTTTTTCATAATTGTAAGATTCTTTTTCTTTTCAGGGTGGCCCAAGAATACCTTCGTTTCACAGTAACTCTCTTGCTCCTCCCTGTATTTTTTTTATTTTTGGGGGGGTTTGTTTTCTACTTGACCAGCCTTCAAATGGCTGCTTTCCCGCCGACCTTCATCAACCCTCTTTGCACTTTTTATACCACAATCAGCTGTTGCACCACACCGTTTCAGTATTTCCCAGTTCGTTTCACGGCCTCCGGCAAGCTTGAAACTGGCACTTAACCCTACTTCAAACGACGACAAATATATTCAGCATATGCATAATGAGCAATTTTTGTTTTCAAAAACGTTTTAACCAAAAACTGCATGAATGGTCACTTGACATAACGGAGCGATACTAGGCCTACAGTAGTTTCTAAAGACATGTGGAAGCATATACGTACATACATACATAATGAATGAATATATATATATATAATTTTTTTTTCCTGTCCCAGTTCAAAGTCAAATTGCACAATAGACGATAAGAAAATAAATAGGCCACATGTAAGCTTGGGATGTATGGCACATTATCCCTCAGTTAATTCACAGTAAATAAAGATGTGCTGTTGACCCTAACTGTGGCAATGTCGCGTCGGCGTATATATACACACACAATGCACGGGCACACTTCACTTGACAGGGAAATGGAAGGCGGATTTCTGTAAACACAAAGGTGACAAACCCCAAAATGAGGTCATCTATGACTGTAACATGAGCCTAATGAGAAAATGCTTGAGTGGGCTTTCCTGCACAAGAATCTGATTTACACAAATATATTCCTCTGGTTTTTCCTGAATGTCATCTCTTAACACCGTGACTAGATTTGAGGGTCGATGGAGCGGAGGATGACTGGTAAAGCGTTCTTGGCGCTCGGACCACAGCGACGGGAGACGTTTATTGCACGCGGCGGCAGTAGTAACCCAGGACTTTACATTTCTCACACAGGTGTTGCGGGTGCTCTTTGCTCTGGTCGGACACATCCAGGCCGTCCGGCTTCTCCAGCGGACGCTGTGGGCGCAAAACACACGCAAGAGGACGGGTGACTCAAGTTCAACACATCATAAATCCCTGTAAGTTAATCGCGCCTATTAGGGTTGGATTCCCTCCCATGTTTTAAACCGGCCAACGGGGGCTCTGCACATAAAACAGAGATATGCACCAAATAGTTCAAGCATTCATTTGATTCAGTGCAACTACTTGAACAGCACATGGCAATTTTTCTTCCACTAAGTGGCTCGATGAAAGGAAATTTGTCCTGATATTTGTGCACTGGTGGTGACATCAAAATGGGGAAAAAATGATGTATGAGAAACCATTATGCGATTAAAAAAAAAAAAAAACGGTTTGGGCTGTTAGTTTACACAGTAATGACATTTGGGTGATTGACAAAGCTTGCTAGCATTTAACATCGGGTCTCAAAATTGGTTACACGGTGCATAACGATAACGATTCTTAATCTATAATTTCTGTGTAAACCTTATAAATGACTGAAAGTACAAGACATGCGTGTTAACATTGTCGCCTGCCTGAAACGTTTTAAAACCCAATTTCAAAAATGGTTTTATGAGCTTGTTTTTGTGTGAATGATGCCAAAGCCCCATGCATGCGGCCGACCTTTCCATTTGATCCTTGAGCAAGAAAGTCAAAGTAGCCCCAGGTTTCTCAGTTTAAAAGCCACTTGATTGTTTTTGTTGATTTGTTGTTTTGTTTTGTTCTTCGAGTCAACATAATACCACCTGAATTGGTTCAATAAGTAATGAATGGTGAAGTGTGATTTATGGGATTTTTCTTGGGGTGGGGGCGCAATGTTTTGTGGTTCGTAAATCCCGTTTGTCTTGACCCTTGCATTCACGAGTATCAATGGAGTAGCATCGAACAGCCTTACAATTTAGTGACATTTCTGAGTGTTCCCGCAAGGAGACGTGTGTCTTGTAAGATGTTAAGCGGCGCCTCTTTTTTCAGCCGCTTTTATGTGGATGATTGGTGGACTATTATTTGCAACGTGAGGCGGGGGAGTGTGGGAGAGGGGGGTCGTTGCATGGCCCCGCAGTCTGTGGAAGTTATGCGCTTGATCTGAAATGCCAAATATACTACCGCCTGACTGACTGGCCTTGCTATTTCCCCATCTCATGCATATGGATGCGATTGGAAAGGGCAGATTTAATCCATTTATGGGGATTGCCGGCTGGCATGACGGGGGAATATAATCAGTGTGTGATATAGCTCACGCTCGGCATGTGCTTTCTCTCGCATGAAACAAAGGCGAGTCAAAGTGGTCCACTTGGTGAATACAAGATGGTTCGGTGAGATGAAAATTGAAGCCTGCCTAGCTGCGTGATCCGTATTTTTTCTAGACCTCCTTAACATATCTTACACCGCCAGCACGACGGATGTGGTACCTGTAAAGCTGTAAAGAGTCTCACAAAGAAAGGGTACGCCATACTGGAGTGGAAAGATGATGTTTGTGTTGAGTTAAACACAAGTCGGGCCTGGCCTGCACGTTTCTCTGGCTGCTGCGGCTTCCTCCCACATTCCAAAAAAAGTATTTAGCTTCATTAAAGACACTAAATTATCCATAGGGGTGAATGTGGGTGGGAATGGTTGTTTGTTTATATATGCCCTGAATTTAGCTAGCAACCAGTCAAGGGTGTACAGTATATCACCTCTCACTCCAAGCCATGACCCAAATGAGGAGAAGCGGTATAGCAGATTTCAAATGATTACAAGAATACATTTTACAATAAAAGGCGAACCTCCTAATAAATGCTTTGTTCTCTCGACGGCTGAGTAAATATCTGCCCCGGCCACAATAGGAGGAAATGCAGTTAATAGCATGATAAAATGTCATTTGGGATGACCTTTCCATTGTTTGGTCATGTTATGCTTTATACTTGTATCGACGCCACTGGAGTGAAGCGCGCCTCAGCAGTCGATAGTCCGCTGCTCTCTGCTGAGCGCGAGCACGTACGCACGTGCTTCAACCAATCAGCGTGAGCGCGAGCACGTACGCACGTGGTTCAACCAATCAGCGCCGACACAACTCACATCACAGATCAAAGAAGCTTTGAACAACGACAACAGCTAAGCTAGCTAGCCGACACGACGCTCGAGGCCGGACGGACACGTTTTATCTAGTAATCTGTGTGTTTTCTTTTTTTGTCTAAATATATATATATTTTTTTTTTTACTTTAATAAATGTCTTGTCCACGTCGTCTTTTTTCTTTCCGCTGGGGTTTAGCAAGTGTGTTTGTAAAGAGACGAAAATCTCTTCATACTAACATTGGATGTTGAGGCAGAGAGTGGTACTGACGAGCGGGGCCTCAAGCAGTCGTCCTAAATTAATTCGGGATATGGAATTTGGTAAAATGTGTAAAAGTTTCAATCTGAGAAAATGCGTTCGGGATGAATATCTCTTCTTGCTTAGGAGTGAGTCCTTTTCTGCACTCTTCGCCCTAGGAGCAACATTTGTGTTTGTTTTTTTGGAAAAAGTAGCATTTTGATTAATCAAATGTCATGCTGGTTCCATTCAGTAAGAGGGGAATTCCAGCGTCTCCTGAGCAGCATTACGCAACAGCTACTGATGGATAAGTGTGACTTAAATCAGAAAATATTTATTTTAGGATCCGATGGAATCCAGGAAATGCAATTAGTTCCCTGGGAGCTGGTTTAAGTGTCAAAAAGATAAAATGAATTGTTGGTACTGTGATTTTTATTACATTTTAAACGGGACCATATGTGATATCTCTTAGGTCACCCTCTCAAAAAGCAAGTTTGTGTGGCAGAGCCCACGTTAAGAAACATGAACCTATCCGACCTTATCGACTTCAGCCATCTTGGGTCAAAATCATAATTGTTGCCTTGTCCTGAAAAGCGCAAAAACAAGTCAACCTTGCGGCTGCCTACTAAGTTCAGCTTTCAAGAGATTGACTGAATTCTCATGCAATTTACACCACGTCTGGTAAGATGTGAAGAAATCTTTTGAGATGTAGTTTTCGTCTGATTTAACAAAAAATGTCCGGTGAGAGTTGAGGAAGTCTGCTCTGGTTTCAGTGGAAGTCTTTCCTGGTTTAGTGGAAGTCTGCAACGCCTGAGGAAGTCTCATGATATGTGTGGAAGTATCGCATCTTTGAGATGTATTTTTCTTCTGATTTAACAAAAATGTCTGGTAAGAGTTGAGGAAGTCTGCTATGGTTTCAGTGGAAGTCTTTCCTGATTTAGTGGAAGTCTGCAACACTTGAGGAAGTCTCATGATATGTGTGGAAGTATCGCATGAGCAACGACGAAGTCTTCTTGTGTGATTTTTTTTTTTTTTTTTTAGTGTAAGACTATCTCGGTGAGGAACTCTTGTGAGAGTTGAAGAAGTCTGGCATGATTTACTGGAAGTCTCACAAGATCTGCCCGAGTTTTGTGAGAGTTGAAGGAGGACACGTGATTTCATGAGATTCTCGCGTAGTGTTAGGAAGTCTCGCCTGATTGAACGGAAGTCTCGCCTGATTTAGCAATAGCCTTGAGATTTGAGGATGTCTTGGGTGATGTCACTTCTTGTTAAACACTTTGAACTCCCAAAATGGTTTGAACTTTGGGACGTATTCATGTACATTTGAGTCCAAAGTCCAAATTGTGCGAGATTTGGGCTTTTGGGACATTATATTGGGACTGTCCCGTCATTTCCCTGAAGGATGATAAAAATAACATTTTTACTTCGGATCTGGCAGTTTGGCCCATTTTAGGTCAAAAATGACCCGGCAGCTTAATGATCAGGCAAGTCCCTTTATTTCGGGTTAAGGCCGGCGTACCTGCTTGTGTGGATAGACGTTGATGTGGCACTTGATACATTCTTGTCCCATGTTGGCCCACGAGTTACCGCTCATCCACTTCCTCTTACACTTTGGACACTTGTATTCGCCAAAGCATCTCTTCTTGCCTTGGTAGGGGGTCAGGCCTTCTCCTTTGGGTCGTGCCTGAAGAGAACAAAGCCATATCAATTGAATCCACTCTCCAAAGGTTTCTTCCTCCCATCCCGTGCTGTTTCATTTCGCCGCAGAATAACGCTGATCATATTTCACCAATAGGGCGTATCTATCCTTTGATTACTAATATAACAAACTTCGCCAATCGCGTACACGCGCAGTTGGCTCGGTGGAAATGACGCACACTTCCATTGCAGCTGTATGATGAAATCATTCCTTTGATTCTCGAGAGGGAGATAATCGGGAACAGTCGCCCGAGAGAAATCGAGCTGGGAGGAGCACGCTTCCCTGATTCCATGTTGGCGACCTGATTTATTTCGGCCACTACGAGGGAGGGAATTCACTCACTTTCACAAATAAAATGTCAAGAGGGCAAATCTATGCCAGCGGTTGCTAACTTGGACTATCTTAACAGAACATCAGCTTATTCATGAAGCGATCCTTCCATTCTGCATATCCAAAACGATGGAAAAAAAATGGCAGACACCGGCAGTAAAAAGTTGAAGACAGTAACATGCCGCGGACAGGAACTACGTCGTCCTACATTTTTATCCAGATTTGAACCAGAATTAATTAGTCCACAAAGTTTTCCCAGAAGTTGTTTCTAGAGTGCTTGTGAAATAAACAATAAACATTTTAAAGTCAAATGTTTACTTTGCACTTTCACACTCGATGGTGGCAACCAGTGCGTTCTTGGGTTCCCTGCAACTCTTCACATTGCTTTCATTAGTGACTGTGACATTGGACACATATTTTAGAGCGCGTATAGAAGGTTTGGGGGTGCACTGCGCATTCCCCGGGCTTTCCTTGGTTCCTCCGAGCTCATGTGTGAGTAATAGCAAGTCTAATCAGCAGCATCTGGCGCTGTCTTAACAAACGTCAACGCTTTGCATCAGTACCGGCGAAGGTGGCCATAAGCTGCAACGGCTGTTCTTCGACGCCCCCCCTCCCCCATCCCCCCAACTGAATGACCTCAACCCTCGCTATGCCCCACCCGAACCCCACTCACTGTCAGCCTCGCATCTCCCGCCCTGACAGCACGCAGGCTGGGAAAATGTGACTTTGCATTCAAGCAAGACAAGCCTGATGACATTTTGTTTGGGTGCACTCTTGTCTATTTAGACGTTACATTAACGGCCAGCGCAAGTCCTCATTATGAAAATATACAGTGCATATAAAAAAAAGGTGTACACACCCCTGTTTAAATGGGAGGCTGGGAGGAGGCCGACAGCAACATTCAAGAACCTTCAAGATTTCTGGCAGTTTTCTACATGGGACAAAACAGGAGACCTTTTCTGAATCTAAATTGAAAGTGATTCTGAGGCCAATGCCACTACCTTTCACCCAGTATGTAGTGTGTTTAGTAGCCGACATTGAGGAGAAAAAAAAAAAATCTTCATGGTCGGGGTCAACAAAATTATTGATCTAAAATAAATAAATAAATAGATTATGCAATCTGGAGCAGCTGGCATATTACCTGCAACGGTCAACCTTTGACCACAGTGAAAGGAAGGCAAACATCCACTCATTATTTTCAGGACCACTTGCTCCAATCAAATCTCGCCGGCATGTTACAACCACAGCAGGAACGAAAAAACTCTCCTCAGGATCATTCCTTTCTGGCTCCTCGCTGCTTTCCAAGCTTCAATCTTGACTTTTGGCCTCGCTGCGCACTCCGTCTGCAGCTGTATGTTTTCAGAAGGGGATCGAGCTCCCTTTGGAAGATGCTCGTAACGCGCACAGAGCAAACAAATCCGCTGCGAGTTGATGACTAATTGGGTTTTGGTGACGCCAGATTCACTGGGCGCAGAGAAACGCAGTCCAATGCACATGACTAACTGGAATCAAGACAATATAAATTCATATTAGTGTCACACACGAAATGCGCCTCGCCCAAATGTGCTAACAAGACTCCACATTTTAAACAAACAACGTTTCGTAAAGTTACGCGCAGGCACTTATGTCTTATATAAAATATTAGGTCTTATTTTCCATGCATAAATTTGAACCCTTTTCATGCACAAATAATATCGGATTTTTTTCCCAAGTGTTTTTATTAGTCTTTAGGCATGGGAAAAAAAAATAATAATAGCAGTGGATGGCACATAAGGGTCCATTACCGTGGTCGATGCACAACTGTGACATGAAGTTGAATTCATATAAGAGAAAACAACATGCGAATAGCAGTCCACTCTAGTAACCACTGTCCCTGAAAGGGTTGAACAACAAAACATTCTTCCAGGTCGCTCATTAGCGTTTCATCACGAGAGATTGGAGCTTTGTTTTGTCATAAGAATACACTAAACCCCTAGTAACTGAAATCATCATCAGTCATTAGTGCTGATTTGTAGAACTGTCGGGAGAGTACATCACTGTAATGGTGCACACATTGATAACATGATTTTTGTATTACGCTGTGTAATTTGACCATAATGTATCCCACGGGACTTTGAAATTGAGTGTCGCTTCTCGACCTAATGAGAGCCATGGTTATGGAAACCAAACCAACAAAAAAATTAATCAAGAGCGGCACGGTGATGCTTAGCGCGTCCACCTCACAGTGCGGAGGTGCAGGGTTCGATTCCGGCTCCGGCCTTCCTGTGTGGGTTTTCTCCGGGTACTCTGGTTTCCTCCCATGTTCCAAAAACATCCATGGCGGGTTAATGTTAATGGAACACTCTAAATTGTCCCTTGGTGTCATTGTGAGCTCAAATGGTTGTTCATCTATGCGATTGGCTGCCAACCATTCAAGGTGGATTAGAAAATTTATGGATGGATGTCCAATCATCGCCCAGTTCATT